GAGCCTAGAGCCTGCTTCTGATTCTTTGTCTCCCTCTCTCTCTGCTCCTCCCCTGCTCACGCTCTCTCTCTCTCAAAAATAAACATTAAAAAAAAAAGCAACTCTAGGATGGGCAAAGGGTGTAGTTGGATCATCCTTGCTTGAGCTTTGACCTCCCCAGTCGTCTCCTAGCAGCCCCTTGCTGTTGAGAGCATCACAGAGCCCTTATTATGACATCATGTTGACTACCTCACCACTGCCTGGTTTAACTTTTCTGTACTTCCCTGCTTCAAAGATGGTCCTTCAGAAAGGTCGATAGGCAGCATGGACTACGTTTTACCCACCAGTTGTCTTTTCTAGACACATTCTTAAACAATGCTTGCTGCAGAAATATCTTTAGTATTCTCCTGAGCAATCACTATCTCCTATTTAAGGGAGATTCCACCTGTGGACAACAAGGCTTCCAGGGGGTGTCTATCACTGACAAATCACTGCTCTGAGATGTCTGGAGAAGACACAAAACAAAGTAACTTGGGGAATTCCCGTGATCAAAAAAGGGAATCAGGTTATACTCTTTTTTAAAGTTTTTTAGAATTTTAGTTATTTTGAGACACAGAGACAGCATGAGCAGGAGAGGGGCAGAGAGAGGGAGAGAGAGAGAGAGAAAGAATCCCAAGCAGACTCTGCACTATCATTGCAGAGCCTGATGTGGGGCTAGAACTCACGAACTGTGAGATCGTGACCAGAGCCAAAACCAAGAGTTGGACGATTAACTGACGACTGAGCCACCACAGCACCCCTGTCTTTTAGAGACATGCCTGCCAAAATAGGGGAATGGACATTAGAAAAACTTGTCCTCTGTTTTTGTATATCTTTCTTTATACATGTTTACCTTTATAAGAAGCTACAGGTTTATTTATTTGCTTGATTAAAAGAATACCAGTAGTAACTATACTTCATCTGGCAGCACTGTAAAGTTTAATTAATGTTTCTAAGGTATGAGTTGAACTCACAAGATGAAAGATTCTATATATGGAATATGTGTTAAGTGCCCAACCTGGTTTAGTCTGATAATGGCCATAATTGTATGGTGTTCTACATTGCAGTCTTGATTATTGTGGTTTCAGTGAGTTCAACCTTGAGAAATGTATTTTAATGTTGAGAATGTGTTTAACAACGGTTGGCAAATGTTTGGGTGTACTTGATTCTTGATGTAAAAGATGTTTTACAAAGAAATATGGAAGGTTTTTCTTTTTAAATTGGTTCAAGGGTCCAAGAAGACACAAAATTCTGGTCCTCACACATCATATAGTAATATATAAGTTGGTTTGTGCCACAAAATCTAAATGCTAAATAAAAAAAAAAATCATTATTAAAATTACATCTCCAGGGGCGCCTGGGTGGCGCAGTCGGTTAAGCGTCCGACTTCAGCCAGGTCACGATCTCGCGGTCCGTGAGTTCGAGCCCCGCGTCGGGCTCTGGGCTGATGGCTCAGAGCCTGGAGCCTGTTTCCGATTCTGTGTCTCCCTCTCTCTCTGCCCCTCCCCCGTTCATGCTCTGTCTCTCTCTGTCCCAAAAATAAATAAAAAACGTTGAAAAAAAATTTTTTTTAAAAATAAAATTACATCTCCATATTAAGATATGCTGAATATGTGAGGACTGAGCTGGCACAAAATAAGGTTGTTAAGATATCAAAAGGAAGATTCGTGTTAATCACCAAGATAAAAAAGAAAAATATTTTTCCACAAAACTCATTTAAGGATATTTCATGGAAAACTTAAATAGTAGGTAGGACTGCTGGGTCATTCAAAGTGAGCTAGTGCTCAAGAGCCAAGGATCTGTGCTTTTAGAGCTAACATGTAACTTGGAAAACTGAAGGGCTTAGATAATCTTGTCAGATTGGGAGCTATTATTACCAGAGTGTAGTTGAATATTAACAAGACTCAGCTATGCTTTATGTTAGTATCAAAGTTTATCTTTGTATGGCAAAAGCAGTTTTCTACCTTTATGTCCATTCCCTTTCTATTGTACTAATATTTGTAATTTTAAAAATAGCCAGCACTTCCATATACCCTTTAAGAAATATAATTACATGAATTAAAACAAGGCCCATTTTTTTGGTCTTGAAAAGTACTTGGTTAAAATGCAAATCCTTCTAGAAAATGTATCAATTTGGGCCATTATCAGCTGGCCCATCCACACACCCTTCTAAGAAATTATAACTACACAAATTGGAACAACCTTGTTCATTAAATCCGGAAAATTAGCTAATCTTCCCTTGTAAAGATGTAAAGACACGGCATTATTTTCTCATTCAATGAAATTTTCAGTATTTACTTTGCATTTACAGTTGTTCAGCATCATGTGAAATATGAGACACACTAAAGGAAGGTTTAATGCTTTAGGATACCTTTCCTGGCTTTAAGAGTTGACAGTCATTTTAGGCAGTCAGAACAAAATGGTACATTCAAAACAGATAGGAATCCATTCCCCCTCTTTTTGGCCTCCATCTCTGTTCTCTATGGTCCTAGGGCCTAAATTCCATTAGAGCCTTGCTCTCAGCCAATTGTCATCAAACAGCATAAAGCTGATAGTGGTTCCAGGTGGTACCTCTTCTAGGAGGATTTGCATTTTAACTACAGACTTATGAAGATCTAAATTTATTAAATAAATAAATAAAGTGGGCTTGTATGACAGCTAGAAAATTGATTCATTCTTATAGTTCTGATTTGTCTAAAACTATTCAATACAAACTGCTTTTACTCCACCCACAGTCCTGTTACTCCCCTGCTTTTATTTTTTTTTTAATTTTTTTTTTTCAACGTTTTTATTTATTTTTGGGGCAGAGAGAGACAGAGCATGAACGGGGGAGGGGCAGAGAGAGAGGGAGACACAGAATCGGAAACAGGCTCCAGGCTCCAAGCCATCAGCCCAGAGCCTGACGCGGGGCTCGAACTCACGGACCGCGAGATCGTGACCTGGCTGAAGCCGGACGCTTAACCGACTGCGCCACCCAGGCGCCCCTCCCCTGCTTTTAAAAGCCTAGCTTACTCCCTCCTTTCCTTGCTGTCTAACCTAGCCCACAGAGTAGACCAGATTTTTGGCTTTGTGTGCCAGAGGAGGGAAGGAAACATTCTTCCTCTACCCTTCAAGGTCTTCCAGCTGGATTAAGAATTAAATTCACAGGAGACAGATTAATAGGAGGAAAAAAACCCCAAAGTTTTATTACGTGGGCACAGAGATCTCGAGAAATGACCAAGGCAGGCAGTTCTTAATACATTTTAGACAATGAGACAGTAAATTTGTGAGGAATTGAAGGGATAAAGAAAACAGGTGTTTGAGAGCTTTAATTAAATTACGGAATTCTAAGCGGAATTTAGGTTGAGGTAGATTAGAAAAACGTTGGTTTCTGCAGCTTTCTCAGCTTTACTGGTGATAAGGATGTCTTTTTCTTTCTTAGTACAGGGAGGGAGCATATTTGCCTTATGGGAGATTTGTTTCTTGCTTTCAGGGGGACAGAACAGGGTCTGCGTGTTCTTGTGCTAGTGGTTTCCCAAGTAGCTTCAATTCAAAATAATCAGTATGCCATTGTGTTACATTTTGGGTGGACTGCTCTTGGCCTCTACCCAGGCACTCTTGAGCCTCATTTTCCTTACTTCTAACGACATCTTACTTGGTAGCTTCATTGCACTTTCCGTATTTCCATAAACAGGCCAGGCCCTTTCACAACTCCCTGCTTTGCCCATTTGCACTGCCCAGAATGCCTTTGACCTTCCCCCTCTCTCGTCTTTTTGGCAGTCCCCACTCTGACACCCAGCATAAACAATTCCTATGTGAAACCGATTATTCCAAAATTCTTCCGAATTTCTTGATTCACATGTTTCTGGAGCACTTTGTACATATGTTATACAACTGTTAGGGAAATTAGTTTTGTAACCCTTTTCCCCTACTGGCTTCTCAATGGTAGGGACCTGATAACATGTGTGGCATAAAGTCTTTCAGTTGGATGTTTCTGCAATTAGAATGATCAACAGGTTGGCAGATTTAGTTTTATTTGACATTGTGCCCCACCCCCCCCATGCCCTCAGGTTAAACAAAAACTCCCAGCACGATATTTACAAGGTTAGTGCTGCTAATTTAACCACATTTAGAGGTTTGTTCTTAAGAGTAATCTATTTTGGAATTGGGGCTTGTGGAATATATTGGTAGAAAACATTGATTTTTGCCAATATCATTCTTCCAAAATGTGTTCTTTGGAACAGTTCTGAATTGAGATTTGGTAAAAGTCGCTTTGTTTGGTCTGTAAATTATTGGATTAATGACTGAGGAGGTCGTTGTGTATTGTGTGTGTGTGTGGGGGGGTGTTAGTTACCTGCTTGTTTCTTGGACCTTAGAATGCACCCTAACTCTGGCCAGCCATCTTAGAAAATGCTCCTGGTAGGAAGGTAAAAAGATTTTACAGCTACGTTACTGAAAAAGGTATCAAAATTCAGGCCCTATTCAGTGTTGGGTCAGCAGTGTCCTTGACATAAGAGAAACAATTTATAGCTCAGTCGAAGCAAAAACTCATTTTCTTTGTATCTAACATCTTTTTCCTTTCCTATTTTAACGTCAGGACATTCCTTCTTAGCAGCAGGCATAATGCCATGATCATATTTTCCTTCATTTCGGGTTACTCCCCATGCCTTACAACCCCTCCTTATTCCTTTATCTCTTTCAAAGTTTCCATTCTCGGTTCCCTTACTTTTTACTCCCTCCCTTCCTGTCTTCCTCCTCCTCTTTTTTCCCAGCTAGCTCACCCCGCCCCTCACCGTCACCACCTTCCCTCCCCTTCAGGCTCCTTCCCGCTGCTTCTCCCGCCACCTTCCCCCCCTACCCCGCCCGCCTCGCGTTCAGAAAGCTCCAATCAGGAGCTCGGGAGGTGTCTAGAAAGCCCGCCCCCTCCTCCCTTTCCACTTCTCTTACCCCCCTTTTCTCCCTCCCCCACCCCCCCCACTCAAGTCCTGCGGACCTGGGGGCTTTGGGATCTGGGCGCTATGAAAAGTGTCTGCCCAGTCACTTCCGGTAAGGGCGCTGCAGCGCGAAGCTTCCCGCGGGACCGTTAAGGAGGGGGTGGGAGTTACCGGCGGACCGGGGGAGGAGAGTGCTGCCAAGGAAGGGGAGCGGGAGAGGGAGGGGGAGGAACAGTGAGAGCTAGGGAAGGAGCACGAGCGTCTTGGGCGCCTTAGCTGCCGCTTTCCCGCCGCCTCCCCAGGAGCCAGCACCCCCGCCCCTCGGGCGCCTTGCAGTGCTTCTCTCCACCCCCCCACTCCCGGGGACAGACACCGCCCCTCCCTCGCCGCCGCGTGACCGGAAGTGGCGCCATCTTTAGCCTCTTGTGCTATTGACAATAACAAGCCTTGGTTCTCTCCCCCTCCCCCCTCCCCCCAACCACGGCATCTCCCCTCCCAGAGAGAGGGAGAACAGGAGGAGGAGCTGCAGCCTCACAGACTCACTGAGTCGCTCCAGCAGAAAGGGGGGAGAGAGACCGAAAAGCCGGGGAGGGGGACGGCACCGCCGTTTACCTGTCTGCCTCCTCATTCGCTCTCCCCCCTCGTTCTGCTCACTCCTGGTGTCAGCCTATCCGCCTTCCCAAACCCTCCCATTCCCCCTGTGTAGCCCCCCCTTCACTTTCCTTCTCGTCCTCTGTGTTTCTCCTCTCTTTCTTCCCTTCCCCCTCTAGCATTGCCACCTTCTCTCCTACACGCACGCAGGCATATAAACGTAGGTTTTTGATGCTCCTCTGCCTGTTGACCCCGCTATTTTCATGTTTCCAACAGGTTTTTCTTCCCCCAATCCCTCAGCTGCTGCTGCTGCTCAGGAGGTCAGATCTGCCACTGATGGTAATACCAGCACCACTCCGCCCACCTCTGCCAAGAAGAGAAAGTTAAACAGCAGCAGCAGTAGCGGCAGTAATAGTAGTAACGAGAGAGAAGACTTTGATTCCACCTCTTCCTCTTCCACTCCTCCTTTACAACCCAGGGATTCGGCATCCCCTTCAACCTCGTCCTTCTGCCTGGGGGTTTCAGTGGCTACTTCCAGCCACGTACCGATACAGAAGAAGCTGCGTTTTGAAGACACCCTGGAGTTTGTAGGGTTTGATGCGAAGATGGCTGAGGAATCCTCCTCTTCTTCCTCCTCATCTTCACCAACTGCTGCAACATCTCAGCAGCAGCAACTTAAAAATAAGAGTATATTAATCTCTTCTGTGGCTTCGGTGCATCATGCAAACGGCCTAGCCAAATCTTCTACCACCACTTCTAGCTTTGCTAACAGCAAGCCTGGCTCTGCTAAGAAGTTAGTGATCAAGAACTTTAAAGGTAACCAAGGCCAAAATCCATAATCACCTACTAAGGATTTGACACTTGAGCGGTCACGTGCTCTGTTTATGTTAATATATTAAACAGTATAGAGGTGGCCTAATGTTTTATGCATAATCAATGAGGTGGAGGGAGGTCCTTTTTTGGGTGGAGGGTTCATTTTCCGGGGGTGGTTAGTATCCTTGTGCTGAAGCATACACCGAGTGTTTCTGGGCAGTATTTTGAGGTCTGGCTCAGCTTCTTCTATCTACTGTTACTCATTACAATACTGAGAATCGGTATGATTGATCCGGATTTTACAGGTGAGAAATTTGTATTCTAAAGAGGTTTATTTATTTCAGGTGCATAGTGAGCTTTCGTACTGGTGATTTTTATTTTTATGCTTCAGTAGGCCACATTTTCTAGTCCCTAGAAATGCAGGTAGCAATGGTGATCTTTTCATGCTCAGTGAAGATTTATAGTTAGATTTGTAATGTTGAACATTATATTCTTGAAACCCCTTGTGGAAGCAGTATTTGGAGAAAAATATTTATGATCTCTGCATTTCTTTCCAAAGGTAGGGTTTGGAAGTCAAAAACACTGTGTATACAGATAAGTAGTAACTCTGTGCCACTAGTTTAAAGATGGGAACAATTACTACATCTTTTTTTTTTTCACTAAAATGGGTTTTAAAGTACTGACCTGCAGTTCAAATTTAGGAAAATTTGTTCATTTTACATTTGAGATATGTGATTGAGAGTATTATGAATGCACTGATGTATATAAAATCAACAGATTTTGAGCTGAATTACTTTTTTCTGTTAACTGTGTTTCTAGTTTTCTGACTTAGTTTTTCAACACCCTTAACTGGCAGGTAATAGCTGCTAAGAGGTTTATTAAATGGAGAAGTAAATGAATGAACTTAATATTTACCAGATAAATGAAGTAAATGAATGAACTTAATATTTACCAGATAAGTGCCTTGTGGGTAAATATTAGTATTCAGAAAATTAGCTTCTTGGTGCTTGTGTTTTCAACATTAGTGTGAAAATCAAGAATATGCTCTATTTTGTCTAAAGCAGAGGGTTATAGTGTTTATTTTTAACCTTCTCTTTTTTTTCTGTCATTCCTCTCCCATCCCCAGGTTCTCAAGAGTGTTGTAATCTTTCTGGTTTAATAGTATACTTTTCTGAAGTGAATGTGAATTGTAATTGACTAATGTGTTCACTGTTCCACTCCAAGTATATGGATGTAATAGCCAAGGATTTTTAAAGAGATGAGCTTTATCCCTAATTTCATTTGCATACTGGTTTCAGAAATTTTGTTTGGGTTTTTTCTCTCCCTCTTAAACTAAAAACACATTAAGACATTTGAATGTTTTAATTAAAAAAATATTCCTTGTTGGTCAATGAAGTTTAAATTAAGGCCCGGGTTAAGATATTCCTTTCCACTCTGAAAATGCTACATAGGTTCTGGAGTCATTTGGATGTTTTAATTTTTAAAAATTTTACTCTGCTCATAGATGGAATTTAAATTAAAACCTGAGTTAAGATGTTTCTTTTCATTTGTAGATGCTGCATAAATTTATGTGAGAGTCAAACAGACTTGGATTAGAATTCCAGTTTTGCCATTGATTAGCTATGATGACCTTGGGCAAGCCTTACTAAATCGAGTCTTCTGGCCTCAGTTTCCTCTGTTGCAAAATAGGGGTGATAATACCTTCCTTAGAGCATTGTTAGGAAGATTAAGAGATTTATAAAGTACTTGTACATAGTAGACATTCAATATTTCAAATCTCAGGTACAAAATGCATGTCAACTGACTTGCTAGGTTTTACATGTCCTCGAATAAGATCAGGATTGTTATTTTTTTATCTGTGATTCTTGAATTTTTATTTTTTGAAGCAATACAGTCAATAGAAAAAAAAAACTTCACCTAAAGGTGAATTCTAATAGGTGAGTCAAAATGACGAACAATATTCTGGCATTTCAAATTTTATTCTTTATGCTAAGCTTAAATACAGTAGTTACTTTATTTTTTATTTTTTTATGTTTATTTATTTTTGAGAGACAGAGCGTGACTGGGGGAAGGGCAGAGAGAGAGGGAGACACAGAATCCGAAGCAGGATCCAGGCTCTGAGCTGTCAGCACAGAGCCCAACACGGGGCTCGAACTCATGAACTACAAGATATGACCTGAGCCGAAGTCGGATGTTTAACCTTCTGAGCCACCCAGGCGCCTCCAGTAGTTACTTTAATATTTAGATGTAATAATCATAAAAATCAAAATTTACTCTTAAAAAGCAGTAATACTATTATTGCACTTTTAATGGATCCTTTCGTTACCATATACTATATATTCTGACATCAACTTTCTACATATTATCTAGATAAGCCTAAATTACCAGAGAACTACACAGATGAAACATGGCAGAAACTGAAAGAAGCGGTGGAAGCTATCCAGAATAGTACTTCGATTAAGTACAATTTAGAAGAACTCTATCAGGTACGTGTTAATGTGGATAGCCAGATTTGGCTAGCATATATTGAGGTGGGATGTATATGGATTTTACTTTGAAATGAGTCCTTCTGTAGACTTTTGGTTCTCTTCTAATTACAATTTCTTGATTAACTTATGCATTCTTTTATAATCAAACCACATACTCTGACATACTCTGACATTCTGACATAAACTAGGAGTACAGTCATATTGGTATATTTCGGGTTTATTTTGGACCCTTCCGATTAGGATTTACAGTAAGGAGTACCTTGGTATAATCAAGGTTTTACCTATAATGGAATCCTATAGCCTAGATCCCAAAGATGATATCTGGTAACATCATTCTGTTGTGGCACTTCTTGCTAAGTGGTGTTATTTGCCTATAGGAAGGGCCTCAAGAAATGCAGATACTCTGTATTTTATCCTTCTTCCTTTGTAGTAGTAGATTTTTGCCATTTCTTTTTCTTTTGAGAGAGAGAGAGAGACAGAATGCGAGAGGGGGAGGGCAGAGAGAGAGGGAGACACAGAATCAGAAGGGGGCTTCAGGCTCTGAGGTGTCAGCACAGAGCCTGATATGGGGCTTGAACTCCAGAGCCGGGAGATCATGACCTGAGCCGAAGTCAGATGCTCAGCTGACTGAGCCATCCAGGCGCCCCGCCATTTCTTTTTCTTGCTCTTTACGTTTGTCTTATCTTCTGGACTGCAAGACCATCCTTAGCCAAAAAAATGAGCAGCTGATTGTAGTCCAGTGACTTCCTCTGAGGTTCAGGTTTGTTTCTTTTGCTTAACAGATGGGTCTATATTTGAAGTGTTTGGTTTAAATATACTATTAAGGGCAATTACTGATTTAGACTTCTTACTACTAAGATATTTTTCCCTACTGTATTTTTGACACAACCACTTCAAGAAGTTACTTTCCATTATAGCGTCAGCAGTTGCATATAAAAAAATATTTCAGAATCTAGTAGCTTGAATTGTTTTTTTTATTTTTAATTTTTTTAAGTTTATTTATTTTGAGAGAGCACGCACACACAGGGATGTGGCGAGAGACAGGGAGAAAGAGAATCCCAAGCAGTTTCTCTGCTGTCAGCGTTTAGCCTAACTTGGGGCTCAAACTCACAAACCATGAGATCATGACCTGAGCTGAAACCAAGAGTCAGGAGCTTATCCAAATGAGCCACCCAAGCACTCTTAGAGTCTTTTATATTGATAAATACCTTGTAAGAAGTTAAGTTGGTTCAACTCATCAGAATTTGTAGTTTTCATCTATTGACTTTAGTTGCAGAGGCTGTGTAGTAATGGACAAACACTGGGTTAGGAGTCAGGAGACAGATTTGGGATCTGGTTTTGGCTGCTATCACCTTTGTGATCTTGAGCAAGAAATTAGACCTCTCTCGACTTCAGTTTGCTTCTCTGTAAAATAAGGGAAAGAAGAACTGTCCTATCTGCCTCATGGAGCTACTTATAAGAATCCAGTAAGATGTGAGAAACACCTCGAAGCACTATGATCTAGAAATATAAGATGATATCACTAGTACAGCTTTTTCATAAGTCACAGTGTGCCTTTTTCACTTGTAATAAGCCAATTAAGATCACCAGTTTCTGTTGCTTTGAAAATTGAATGAGTCAGTGCATGCAAAACACTCAGAACAACGTCCGAACCATAGTAATAATGTTATACAGTATTCTAATCCTTATAAAGCTATGGAAGTATCAGATAGTGGTGGTAGTAGTAGTAAGTTACTACTTAAGAATGAGCCCACCTTACTTGGCTTTGTTGGTATATTGCACATGTGGCTCCTGAGTTGTACAATATTAAAAGTAGAATTACGGAATTGGAGTTGGAAGGGCTTTAAGAGATCAGATCATGTAGTCCAATAGCTTTTTTCATATAGTGCAGGTGACAGTCTACAAAGCAGGTGCATCTTTTATTATTTCATTTAAGCATTATAGAAGAAACCTTTTGTGAAGTGGATAAGGGAGTGCTTATTATTCCTCTGTTGATGAGGAAACTGAGTCTCAGGGAAGTTAAATAATGAGATGCCTAAGTTTCAAGTCCAGTGCATTTTTACTACTATGCTGCTTCACTAATACACCACAGCTCTTTGAATACCTCTGTAGTGCAGTGTTTGAGGCAAATAAATACTTCACTTTAGGGAAAAAACTTTGTCATCAAAGAAGGTAATTTTTTCATTCCTGTATGTATATGGTGTTTATTTGGATATGCTGGTGTACAGCATCTTTAGTTTCAATAATGTTATTTTATATATTTTGTATTTATGGCAGATTGTGATTGCTAATGAAGCCTATTTACTTTACCTTGAATATTTTTCTAGAGTTTTGGGGTTCAAAAATATTTCTCCTGGGGCGTCTGGGTGGCTCAGTTAAGCGTCTGACTTTGGCTCAGGTCACGATCTCAAGGTTGGTGGGTTTGAGCTCTGTGTTGGGCTCTGCGCTGAGCCTGCTTTGGGTTCTGTCTCCCTCTCTCTCTCTGCCCCTCGCCCGCTAGCACAGGCGTGTTCTCCCTCTCTCTCTCTCTCTCTCTCTCTCTCTCTCTCTCTCTCTCAAAATTAAAGAAACATTAAAAAATTTTTCCTGATAAATTGATTCTGTTAAATGTCTTTGTTTCAGGAGCTCATAGCTTACATTTTTTCTGTTTTTCCTTTCCTGTATTTCAGAATTATTACATGCTATTGTTCAATTGCATTTCTTTAGCCTAAAATCAGTGATACAGCTTTTTAACTCTTTGCATTTTTCATAGTTCTTTACTATTTCTGCTTTAATAAATTGAAAAGCATTTGTTTATAACTGTTTTTGTTTTTGACTTTAATTTTATAAATGCTCGTTTGGATCATTCTCAGAAAGTTTATTTTGAGATGTTCAAGTTCACAAAAAGATAAAAAGATAAAGGGAGTAAAGTTCATACCATCTGGATTTCAGGTGCTTGTTTAATTTTGACTGGTTGAAATGTAAATTAAAAGTACTCTCCTAAAATTGAAACTGTAGAAGTATGTAGTATTACACCAAGCAAAAGTTCACCAAACCTCTCATTCCCCCATGCTATCCTTTGTATCTGAAGTAAACGCTTATTTGGCATATATCTATGCAGAACTTTTTTCTCTGCACGCAACGGTTTTAAAGCTTAATCATAGAAGTCCCTAGTATGGATGGCATGTACTGCCTCCCTGAGTTTTTAGTTTCTAGAACAGAATATGTGGTTCTGAGTGCATTTGCAAGAAACAAATGTCTTTTAAGGGTGATTTTAAATGAGAATTGTACTTGAGTTTAAAAATATCTTTCCTCGACAACCTTGAAATCCTGGTAAGTGTGAGGCAGTGGTTGGTTAATGTTATTTTAGTTTGGGGGATTTTTTTTCTTGTTTGCTTATTTTTGATTGACTACAGATAGGAGTATGGTTAAGTGCACTGACTTTTGAGTTGATCAGCCTGATTTAGACTAGAGATCTGCCACTCATGATAACTTTGGGCAAGTTACTTCTCTAAGCCTTGTTTTCCTCATTTGCAAAATGGAAGAGTAACATTATCTTTGTGTTAGGGTTGTTTAGTTGTAAACAAAATACTGCAGAAAAACTGCTTGTTCAATGTCTACTGTTTGTTGGTGTCATCATTGATAATGATGATAATAAATGAGTCTTTTAAAAAGATATCTTTATTTTTAGATTACCCTTTACTGTACAGCTCTAAAGCCACATGTTATAAAATTCTAAATCCACACTGACTCAGAACAGCTGGCTGATAAATAGATTACATTCCAGATACGTGTCAGTAGACATCATTAGCCAAATTGAAAGAATAATGAAGAGAGGAACTCTCTAGGAACAAGTATTTTTTACTTCTCAAGAATATGTCTTGTTTTTTACATGTGGTATCTTATAATAGTTGGAATTTTGGGTGTTTTAAATAATGGGATTATTTTTCTTACGTACTCAGCCTTGTATAAGTAGCTGTATAGTCTTTTAAAATCAGCTACCTTTTTTGGAGCTGGCTGGTAGTTTATATATGAAAATATAACATTTATTCTTAATATAAATGTTTATTTTATTTGAAGGCAAGTCTAGTCCATACTTCAATTCTGATGGAAATAATTTTATGTATTATTAATAAAATTCCGGGGGAGACGCCTGGATAGCTCAGTTGGTTAAGTGTACCACTCTTGATGTTGGCTCAGGTCATGATCTCAAGGTTTGTGGATTCAAGCCCCATGTCTGGCCTGCTGCGGACAGTGAGGTGCCTGCTTCAGATTCACATCCTCTGTCTCCATCTCTCTGTGCCCCTCCCCTCCTCATGCTCTCTCTCAAAAATAAACAAACATTTTTTTTTTTAAAGTGCAACTACAAATTCTTAGTCCTTGATAATTTTAGTCTTATTTAAATCCTTTTTTACTAGCTGTAAAAAGAAAAATAATTTAGGTTTCATGTCTGGTTTCCTTTCTGTAAGTTCTTAGTTTTTGATGTATTTTGAGTATCTTATTGTAGCCATTTTTCCTAAATGTAAAAAGATAAATTAGATTTTATTGCTGTATCGTTTGTTGAAAACTAGGTGGTGTGTTTTCCTTTCTTTAAATATATGGTTTGAAAAATAACACCCAACCCATTAGGCCAACAACCAGAGTTCAGCACCCTGTGGGAATTTAATATCTTTCTTGGTGTCTATCGTTGTTAAATGACAAAAATTTCTAGATTTCCTCCCTTACTGTGTTTATTTTTGTATTTTTTGTATTTTTTATTCTTATTTTAGTCCTCTTCATTTTTTTATTCTAGTCTTACTACTTACCCTCATTTCTGTTCCTTCTCTTGCCCCTTGTGCAATCTTAAGTGCCTTTGCTGTCTTAAATCCTGTATTCCCCAAAGCATCAAATTTTAGGAACTATAGTTTTACATTTTGTTTGCTACGTGTTTACATTTCTTTGGAGTGTGTGGTTTTGTTTGTTTCAGACACTTTTTTTTCAGACAAACATGTTTTTGATGTGATATGTATGGATTTTGG